GGGGGGGGGGGGGGGGGGGGGGATTAAAACATAAAAATGGAACTTATGAAAGAATGATGTTTAGTCATATTAATTAAGTAGTTTTTGACTATTGTAATTTATTTCTTTTTGACCTTGGAAAAAATTGGAATTATGTAATGTGTTTCCTTTTTTGCATATGTAAATACATAGAAATAAATATATTTTTTTTTGTAAAAAAATGAATCTAAATTGAAAGGTTTAATATGCAAAGAAATATGAGGCTCTATTGGTTTGTATATTTTAGTGGATTTGAAAATATAAATCAAATATAGTGTTATCGGTTCTAAGATTTAAATCTATATTCAAATTTATTTATTGGTTCTATGATTTAAAAATCTATATTTAAATTCACTATTATTAGTTCTATGATTTTAAAATAGATTTTAAAATCAGGTGTTATTTAATACTAATGATTTGCTTAAGATTTGATTTAAAATTAGAACTGGGTGGATTTATGAGTTAAAAATACAAAAAAGTAAATATTGATTGAATCTTGTTATTTTGATAGATATGTATAATTGGTTTTCTTAATATTTTTTTTCCTGCCCCAAGTTTTACATACATATTGTCCATGTTTCCCTAATAATTATATGCAAATACTGATATGAGAGTCTGAGACAACCACCAAAGTTCACCATCTCTATGTTATATTGATGTGTAAGTAGTTGTACAACATATAATTATATTAATTAACCATCTCTCACTTAGCTTTACGTAGATATTAATATAAAAATTTACCAAAAATCTTTCATAAGAGTTTTGGTCTACAAGATTTTTTAGAGATTCTCCTCCATAAAGTGACAAAGAGTTGTTTAACCATCATCATGCTAATGAGGAATGTTATCAAAAGACTTTTTTGCATATTCAAATCTTGATTTTTAATTTTTAAATGTGCATCTTTTTCTCCTTATAAGGCAGAAACGGAAAAAAAATATTTTGTGTGTGTTGGTTTACGTAGTCTTCTTCAAAAGTTTTGGTGAATCGATAATTTTTCTGAATAAAAATATTCAAATGATGAAGAAGATCTTGAGAAATTAATAACAAATATGTTGATGGATCTTATGTTATCATAATAACATATGATATACAAAATGATAAAATATATGTTGTATTTTTCTATATATTTTATTTTGTTACAAAGCAGAGCTTATCACAAATCCATTTGACTGATTTGTAATAATTCAATTATTTTGATTTTAAAATCTATTTCATTGATTCTGAAATCTACTTATTTTATTTTAAAATGTGTGGATTTGTAAAAAATTTCAAAATCCAAATTTTTTTCTTCTGATTCTATAAAATACTAGAGCCAATAACCCCACTGAACATACAAACCATAAATTATTATTACTTTTTAAATGTGTTACAATTTGAAAGCGTACAGTTGTTGTGTTTCCCTTTTGGGATAATCTCGTAAAATATTTACTATTTAAATCTTTAAGACTAATTAATTTCGAAGTTTGACAAGAAAACAAACTCCATAGTTTCTTGACCAAACTAGTTTCGGATTAGAGCAAGAAATATTTAAGAGAGTATCTCAATATTTTATTAAAAAAATAAACATGAAAACCTCTTTAGAAACTCTATTGCCATGGCTTAAAATGATCTAATGTTTTCTAGATAATTTAAATTTAATTATCTAATAATATGGTATGAAAATAATATTTTTTTGAAAGTGAGAATCCCATATTCAGTAATGAAGTTGTATTAAGTAGTACCGGGTTTGAGCATGTGTTCATACTACATTAGCACATGACTTCTTCTTTTTTCAATTTTTTAAAAGCAACTAAAGTCTTACATATATTTACAAGCAATTAGGGTCTTAATTTTCACATTTACAATTGAAATTTTTTTAACTCCGCACAGCGCCTAAATATTATTTCGGCCACCTAGTTCTAAGAGCACTTCCAATGAGGTATCTATCCATTGGAGTTCTAAAAAATATATATGTGTATGTATATATTATATTTATATAGGCGTGTGTAGATATTGAATTCACTCAATAGTGTAGAATCCTTATATCCAAAGGTTCTAAAATTTTGTTTGTAAAACCTTTGGATAGGGATTTTACACTATTGAATAGACCTCATATCTATATACACCTATATAACATAAACATGCACATATATATTATTTTAAAAACTCCAATGGATAGATACTCCATTGAAAGTGCTCTAAGAACATGAACATCGCAGATCCCTCATACTGGTTCTTGGAGCTTTTTGGTGTGGGATCTACCATTTTTCTCAATTACTGAATCCATATGTCCCAAATTAAGAAACGTCTCAGCCATGTCTAACACTATTTGCGGGTCTCATAATACGTGGTGACCCGCAATTGGTTTATTTTTTATTTTTTATTTTCCGATAAAAAAAAACTTTTAAAAAGAAAAAAAATTACCTTAGGACTTTCGAAAGTCCTGCCGATAATTATGCTCTAAGGGAATGTAGCCTTTATGGTCTTACCCAAATCGTTTTCTATTAACACTTGAACAAATGCAGCTCTCAAAGGATCAATGTATTTAATCCAACGGCTAGCTAGGAAGCCTATTCTGGTCCTCTTTGACGGTAATAAAAACCCATCTCACGACATGCATGTCTTGTCTCAAACACGGTGCCGGTACGTGTGGACTGGCCATGACGACGAGTCCCACACTGGTGTCGATTGGATCTCCACGTGTGACGTGTCCAAGTCTCCTTGATCCACCGGTGCTTCTCCTCCCTCGCTCCACCGAAATCCTCACTGCATCCAGCGATATCCTAAACACACTTCATCTTCCCATTAATGTAAATCTCTTTTGTCTCTATATGCATTCAATCTTTCTCTGAATTTGTGTAGAGTTTTAGTTTCAGACTATTGATTTTTTTGTATGTTCTTTCGGTTAATGAGAAGGCAGCAGATAATGTCTCTGACAAACTTCAGTCCATGGGAATCTCTTCAGGTGGTACTGATGGCACACCCTCTTCATTTTAGACTGGTACGTATCCCTTCACAACATTTATTTTCAGTTACACATATGTATTATCCTATATACAGTTCAAACTATATATTAGTGACTGGAAGCATCTGTAATGTTTTTCTTTTGCTGGGAAAATCTGTTAAACATGAATGATAAATGTTTTTTATAGAGTTACTGATTTATGTTGATGCATATGTGGAAAGGTTCAGCTATTTTTTAAATCTTCTGAATTTGTTAGTTTGGTTTTCAAATTTATGTATAGGAGGGACATCCAAGAAGGAGGAAGCGAAATGCCTTCCTAGAGGAAAACTAAAAAAAAAGTGAGTAACCTTCCTCTTGTCTTTCTAGAATGTTACCAAGTTTTCATTAAACTTTATAAAACAGACATGCTTGTCACTGGAGCATCAGTTGTCAAGGTATCTAGAATTTAGATTTCAAACTAAATATGAACAAGAAGTTATATGCTTAGTTTTTTTTAGAGTTTGTAACTGCGTTAGAGTTCAGACCTTTTTGGTTGGTTGGTTCCTTCTCTCCCTCTTATGCTTAAAGGTATCTATGTGAAAGATTTTATTGTATTGCTTATTATTTTGATGCTATTGTGTCTGATCAGAACATCTGTAGTTTACAGAATTTTGTTTTTTTACTTCAATTGTTCTCACGTAGTTCTTGTCATCCATGTTTCAATTATTAAGTCAAGCATTAGTGTCTTTTTCTTTTGTTTTCAAGAGCATGGGTTTCTCGTGTTGGATTATTTCTTTTTAGAAGTATCTTAAAGACTGTAACTTGTTTTCAAACTGGTTACCTGAAAAACACCGAACTTTACCATTTCTTTCTTGTGACTGTGTTGATAAATATATATTCTCTTAATAGTTTATGTGGTCTCTTTTGATGAACATCTGAAATTTAATTAGATTGGTAAAATATTTGCAGATTATGGGTTCTCCTCGTTGTGGTGCTTATTCTTTCGAAGGAGTTGGTCGGACATCTGGAGCAGGAACCTCCTCACCTCTTTGAACTGGAACATCTCTTCCTCTTCGAACTGGAGCCTCTCTTCCTCATGGAACTGGAGCCTTCCTGCCTCCTAGAGCCACTGGACAAACTAATTCTTTTTTTTTTTGGTAGGACAAGCTAATTCGTTTGAAGAAGTGTATTCTTTCCAAGGTTTTTTTTTAAGAACCCCTAATTAAGATATTACCAATAAATCACGAAAATTCAAAGTCTATTAGCAAAATCTCTTAATTAACTTCATTTTAGTATTTAAAAAAATTAATAAAATCCCTTAAGTGGGTTTCACCAATAAACATGCTCTAAGTCTCTCGTGTTCCATCTCACTGTACCCACGATTTCCAGAAACACTTGATTTTTTTATGTAGCTTTTACACTTAAAACAGGATCAAGATTCTAGTTCATACACATCAAGAACATCTAATGATCTAAACAACAATCTCTTACAGAAATATCATTTCAGATAACCATAAAATATCTTAATAGCTATTGAATTATAATCCATATACAAATTCATTAATAAATTATTATATTCCAAGAAAAATAACGCAGAAACTGAGTGGTAAAACAAATATGCACGACTGATTTAGAGTATTCTTACAGCTCAACGGTGTGGATGTAAGCTTTAGAGGCAGCTTCCGGCGACCAGATGGTTTCATGATCGTGAGTTAGTTTCTCTATTTTCTCTATCCATGTTTCGATAAAATACTAAAATGTGTTCTTTAAGGAGAAGAAACATTTTTATATAAAGAGAATCGATGGAGGAATCAGAGCCGGAAGTTGGCAAAACTAATGACACATTGGTTTTGGTTCCCAAAATTTTGAAGATGTTTTATATAAATATAGGTCCTTAATTTATATT